CTTTCTTCAGCCTACGCAACATGTCCGCCCCACGGGACACCGGGAAGGGCCCTGTGGAGTCCTCCTCGGCGACAACCTCCCAGATGGCGCCATCTCGTCGTGCACCACGTGCTCCGCTCCCCCCTCGTCCCACGGCAGTCTCACCTGCACCACTTCATGCGATACGATTGTTTTTGCCACGCCCACGATTTTTCGTGTTGGCAGGGCACATGAGGTGGACCTTGGGAAGGCCGAAACAACTACTCGACATCACCGCGGCGGTCACCGCAGCATCGCACCCCGCAGTTTGTCCGATTCCTTTGGCGTTCCTGAGGGAGGGTGTGTAGGCGGGGCAGATGACGCAGTCGGCAGATCAGCAAAACCCTCAAGTCCGCCGTCGAGATCAGAGCATCACCCCGTTAGCGGTACTTCCGACGAAGTTATGGCGTCCCCGCCATGGACACGATGGACCCCACACGACAGCCTGCGGTCGGGTCCTCGTCGACAGCACGGCGCGACAGAGCCACTGTTTTGTCGACAGTGGCATTCTATGCCACTAAGGGCAGTGCTGGGGGGTTGGACGAGCCGGGAGCCCGGATTGCAGGCAGACCCTCTGCACCTTGTATGGGGACACRATCCATCGGGAGTGTCAACGGTGCTCGCCACACCGCCATGTCAGAGTATGAGGACCGACATGGGAGCGCCTTGCCGACGAAGACCTCTGATGTCCATGCTATGAGGGCCACRAAGGCGAGTCTTTCTCGAGAAAGGAAGAAGGCTTCGGAAAGGAAGGCGTCACGCTCGTCACCACATATGCGATCCCACATTGGGCGATTCGGTGTTGCGCCTCTCGAGGACGGAGAGATTGCATATGATGGCGGTGCGTTGGATGTTGGAGAGAGGCCTGCGGGGGCGGACAGCATCTGCAAGGAGGGTGCAGGCACTACAGGCACTGTAGGACATGCAGTGGCAGGTCAGAAGAGACGTGGCAGTGTACTTATCATCCACGACGACAGCACGCATGTCGCCCGGGAGAGACCACAGGCACTGATGATGCGGGGGACTCTGATTACGTGCCTGAACCTCGGAGGGCGGACGGAGATATTGGAGGAGGGCGACGAGTGAGACCGAGGACACGACTCGGGCCATCCGGCCAGGTACTGCAAGGCACAACATCGGTGACGATTCTTGCCCCCATTGATCAGCGAGCTCAGGGTCAGCAGCTGCTGCGCAGAATGGAGGCCACTCTTTAAGAAACACATGGCTCATCGATCGGTCACGGAGAGAGAGAGAGAGAGAGAGAGAGAGAGAGAGAGAGAGAGAGAGAGAGAGAGAGAGAGAGAGAGACTGTCGACCTCGCCCCGGGCTACCACTAAGACGGGAGGCCCTTGGCCTAGGCCCGTAGCATGAGAGCCTATAGCCGGGCAGGCAGAGGTCGTAGGGATGTTGTTACATATCCGCTCAACATAGCAGTTTTCTCTTGGCACCCTTGCAGCCTCGCAGGTATCTTATCGTGGTTGGCATGGGATATTGTTGTCGACGACGCGACGTTGATATCTCCTGGACTTGGAGAGAGAGAGAGAGAGAGAGAGAGAGACTGCTGACCTCGGCCCGGGCTACCACTAGGACGGGAGGCCCATGGCCTAGGCCCGTAGCATGAGAGCCTATAGCCGGGCAGGCAGAGGTCGTAGGGATGTTGCTACATATCCGCTCAATCGTGCAGTTATTTCGTGTCACACTTGCAGCCCCGCAGCTATCTTATCGTGATTGTTGGGATTTTGTTGTCTACGACGTGGCGTTGATATCTCCCGAACTTGGAGAGATAGAAACACAGACACAGAGAGAGAGAGAGAGAGAGAGAGAGAGAGAGAGAGAGAGAGAGAGAGAGAGAGAGAGAGAGAG